GGGGATATGCAAAATGCCACTAGTTATAGACCAGTACTCCTACTCGCAGCGGTACGAGAAGTACTGGAAAGTATTATTCATTATCACATCAGGGAGCACCTCGATAGGACTAATAGAATCCATGAAGCCCGACAAAGTTTCAGGGCGGGGGGCAGATTCTGTGTAATAAACCTACTGTCAGCTTGGGACGATTGGACATCATGTTGAGATATGGATACTCCAACCCATGTTGTGTTTTTAGAATTTGAGAAGGCATTTGAAACAGTTCACATACTCTCTACACAAAATAAGTCAGGTCGATCTAGGTAAGCCGCTTCTGTCAAGGTTAAGGACCACCTAGCTGAAAGGAAATTTTGCACTAAGGTCAATCGAGTCCGGTCATCTTGGCATAGCTTGTCATCAGGAATGTCACAGGGTTCTAACTTAGGACCACTGGTTTTTTTGATTTTTATAAATGACCTACCATGCTGTCTTAGCTACTCAAATCTTCTATACGTTGACGATGTAAAGATATGGAAGGCGATAAAGTGTTCGGAAGACTCAGATAGGCTGCAGGCAGATCTAAAGCTTTTGGAAGACTGGGTGGTGGCCAGTGGTGTGCTTTCAACCTGAAAAAGGGCAAAGTAGTGCAACTACGCACCTGTGCAACGAAAGCTTGTCTTGCATGACGTTGGAGCGTAACTTAGATCTAGTGCTGACAGAGGAAATGGACACAAGTGTGTATTGCAAGAGGGATGTAGTGAGGGCATATGAGTTCACTCAGTTGGCACATAGACAGTTAGGTGCGCTCACTCCTGAGCTCTTTCTAAGGCTGTACAAAACACACGTTAGACCACACCTTGAAGTAAACAATGCCACTGCAGCCCACTGATAAGAAGAGGCACGAACCTTTAGAAGAGTCCAAAGATGGGCTACAAAACGAGTGGTTGGTCTTTGAAATAAACCGTGTGATGAAAAGCTAAAGAAATTTTATCTATTCACGCATAGCTACGGACGGCTTTGGGGGGATTTGATTACTGCCCACAAGAAAGACAATGACCAGGATCACCCAAACAAAGGTGTTATGCCGTTGAATAGGTATTGGCTTCCTCATGGAAACCCCAGGGGGATAGCTCACTAGAGGACAAGGACCCGGCTGTGCTCTTACTTCTTTTCACTGTGGGTTTGCCATCCCTGGACCTCCTTACCGACAGACATAGCTATGGCATCGTCTGTGGGCACCTCTAAGCGAAGGCCGGAAAATAATTGCTATTATTATTTCCTTTAATTCCTAGAGGAACATAGAGCTTCAGCCGCGCGCCTCCATTGCGTTTTGTTCCCTGCTAGAGTTTTCACCTGACTTCAAGTCTGCCTACATGCTTTCATCTCCTCTTCACATGACCTCCTCCAAGTCACCCTCACCCTTGCACTGACGATCAACTCACCGCTTCCTAGTCGGGTTCCACTCGAGCAATGGCTTGCCTAGTGGTGTCACTTGATGGTTTCCTCAGAGTATGGCCAATCCATCTCCATTTCTTCCTGCCTATTTGTTGCACAATCGGTTCCTGCTGTGTTGGTTCGCTCCAACAGATCCCTGCTTCTGGCCATCTGATCTTGACTATTGAGCGAAGACAGCTGTTGATGAAGGGCTGTAGTTTGTTTGAGGTGCTCTTTATGACGCGCTGGCCAAGTCTCTGATCCGTGTATTAGCACTGACTGACTTCACATTGGAGTTGAAAATCCGGATCTTATTTTTGATGCTGAATGCTGTTGACCTCCGCACGGACTTCAGAATAATGAAAGGTTGCTTTGCTTTCCCAATCCTTGCTTTGACATCCTCGTCAGTTCCGCCTGTAGTAAAAACCATGCTTCCCAGGTAGGTGAAGGAGGTTGTTTCTTTCAGGTTCCTCCCATTTATGCTGATTGTTGTCTGTTGTTGTTGCGGCTGTTGGTGTTGACCAGGAATCTTCATCACCTCTGTTGTCTCTATGTTCACCTGAAGTCCTGTCTTTGATGCTTCTTCTGCCAACTTGTTGCTTTTCACTTGCATATCTTCCGGTTTGTGGGAAATCAGACATATATATCACATCGACGAAGTCCAGATCCTGCAAGTTTTCTGTGTGAGTCCATTTTATGCCTGTTTCCTAATTGCCTGCTGTTTGTCGCATTATCCCGTCTACCGCAATCAGGAAAATCATTGGCGATAGTAGGCAGCCAGCCTTGTCTTACTCCCGTCTTCACTTCGAAGGATTCCGTAAGTTTCCCGTTGTGGATTACTTGGCATGCAGCATTGTCGTACAACTGTTGGATGAGGTGTATAATTGTCAGTGGCACCCCGTAGTAGCGAAGTAGTTACCAAATCACCTCTCGATCGACGCTGTCGAAGGCCTTTTCAAAGTCGATGAAGTTGAGATAGAGAGGTGACTGCCATTCCAAGCTTTGTTCAATGATGATCCGTAATGTGGCGATCTGATCAATACATGACTTGTTTCTCTTGAATCCAGCCTGTTCCGGTCGAAGTTTTTCATCCAGGGCATGTTTGATTCTCTCCAGGATGATATGGCTTAGTATTTTGTTTGGGATGGACAGGAGCATAATTCCGCGCCAGTTCTTGCATTGACTTAAGTCTCCTTTCTTTGGCAGTTTGAATAAGTATCCTTCCTTCCAATCCTCGGGTGCCTTGCCCTCTTTCCACACCTTCTCTAGTAGTGGCGTCATCAAGTCTGCTGTTCTCTCTGGGTCCACTTTCAATGCCTCTGCTGGGATTCCATCTGGTCCTGCTGCTTTTCCAGCTTTTAGCATCTTGATTGCCTTCAGGACTTCTGATTTCGTCGAGGGGTTGATGCTCACTGGTAATTCTGCTTCCGTTTTTGGTATTGTTGGGCACGTTGTAGGTGGCGGTCGGTATAGTAGTATTTTGAAGTGTTCAGCCCAGTGTTTCCGTTGCTCCACTTCTTTGGTGATTGACTTTCCATTGTCATCCTTCACTGGCTTAATTTGTGACGAATTTTTGCCTGAGAGTTACCTAGTTGTTTGGTAGAGTGTTGCTTGGTCTCCTTTGCCTGCTGCTTGTTCTGCTTCATTGGCCATGGCTTCATTGTTCAGTGTATTGTAGCTTGCATTCAACTCCTGTTTCTGTTGCTCGTCGGTGCACTGGATAATCTTTTGTTTCACCATCCTTCTCTCTTCTATTAGCCTCCAATTATCCGTAGTGAGCCACTCTTTATCATGTCTCTTCTTTCTGCCCAGAACTTCCATGCAGGTTTGACTCCACACCGTTTTCAGGTTATCCCAGTGCTTTTCAATGCTAACCTCTTCGTTGGTGTGTTGATTTGTGTCTCAGCTTTGTCCCTTATGCTTGCAGTGAAGATGTCCTTTTTATCCTGGTCCTTTAGTCTTTGAGTGTTGAACTTGGCTCGTGGTCTATCTGCAGCTCCTGTTTCTCTGAAAGCTTTTAATTTGAGTTGGATTGTCCCTTATACGAGATAGTGGTCTGAGCCAACGTCTGCTCCTCTTCTTACTTTTGTGTCCAGTAAGCTGCGCCTCCACTTCCTTGAGATTGAGGTGAAGTCAATTTGGTTTTTGGTTCGCCCATCTGGTGACACCCATGTAGCCTTGTGGATATTCTTGTGTTTGTATACGCTGCCACTAACCACTAGTTCATTGAAGGCGCAGAAGTCGGCGAAGAGTTCTCCATTTTCATCTCTCCGAGAGCTTCTTTACCCATGATGAGTTCCCTTCCTGTGTTGTCTGGACCCAGTTTGGCTTTCATGTCTCCCATTAGTATTTTAATGTCGCTGACTTGAGTATTGCCGATTGTTGCCTGTCGTTGTTTGTAGAATTCTTCTTTCTTCTCGAGATCTGCGTTGTTTGTGGGTGCATAGCATTGTATAACTGACACTTTCCTTCCTTTGGAGTTGAATCTGGCGGTCATTATCCTGGGCGAGATCGCCTCCCATTGCCTGAGGGCCTTCGTTGCCTTTGGTGATATCATGATAGCCACGCCCTCGGTGTGCATGTGGTTGTCTTCTGGGTGACCGGAGTAGATCACTGACTCACCCGTTGACAATTTGGTGAGTCCATTCCCATTCCATCTGCTTTCACATATTCCCAGAACTTGAATCCCGTATCTTTTCATCTCGTTTCCAATCTGGGCAGCTTTTCCAATCTCGTACATGGTGCGGACATTCCATGTCCCCACACAAACTTTTTCTTTTGGCGCAAGGAGATTCATCGTACTGAAGTTTCTGTAGCAACTTTGTTTACAGGGTGGAGTTGCTAGCCTCACGCCTGAGAGGGGGGTTGTTACATTAAAATATAGTTTAGAGAGAAACGACCTTGTGGGTTGCTCTCCTTGAAACCAGGGAAACGAGGGATAAAACAATGAGAACAATGCCAGCAAAGGAAAAAATTCATAACAGGAGGGGCAACAAGCGACAACAGCAATAAAAAACCTTAGCAGTAGTATCAAAGTCAGACACAGTTAACAAAATGGTATCAAAATCATAGACTCACTGACTTGAGCCAACTTGAACATGTAAATCCATCAATATATACAATGATAATTACAATTATAGATATTATTTAGTGTTATTCAGTTCCAAAATGGCAATCAGATAGTTATAGGTATTATCCAACAATAGGATTATATCCACAGATTCAGTATTTGAAAAGCGAATAGCTACACTACTTTCCGAAAGTTCTTGGCAAGAAATTCCTCAGAAATAAGAGTTTTATGATACTACGTGAATGTAGCGTAGTAATCGAAAAGCCCCTTAAAATCCCATGTACCATTCATGGGTAGACAACTAAATTCGTCGTTTTACTCCTTTACATTCTCTCCCGTCTTACTTTCCTGACAATTCCAACAGCAGTCGAGTGGCGGACGAACTAAGCTGAAGTTTACCGAAGACCAGGAACCTTTACCTCCCATTCAAGAAGCGAACACAAAGAAATCAAATTGGTTTATACTTGCTCGTAAAGACAATATTGGATATTGGATTTTCAAGGTCTGACTGTCTGTCTCATTTGAAAATGAACGGGACAGCAGAATGTTTGCCTGTTCTGGTGGTTGGTGCTGGTGGGATTGGATGTGAACTATTAAAGAATTTGGTGTATAATGGTTTTGATAATATAACAATTGTAAGTTACTCTTCTAAATTTTTACTATTATTTTGAAGGTCGATCTCGACACCATCGATATCAGCAACCTAAATAGACAGTTTCTTTTCCATAAAAAGCACGTTGGACGATCCAAAGCAGAGGTCTGAGTAATATTTTCACTTTGTATTTCTCCAACAGACAGCCAGAGAAAACGTCTTGGCCTTTAAACCAACTGCTAACATTGTTGCTTACCACAAAAGTATTTTCAGGTAATCAAGTTGTTAGTTTCTTTGACTTCATCTCAGCTCTACATTTAATTCTACGTTTTTTGGGAAGTTCGCTGTTGTTTTCAATGCCCTGGACAATCTTGGTAAGTTGATGACTCACCAATATAATCAAACCTTATATAATAATGTAGCCCAGAATGATAAACCGCTCATTTTTGTGTAATATGCATTGATTTTCTCTCCTTGTAATGTTATTCACACAGACCGTTAATGCGGAACTATATGCAGTGTTTTATTTAGTATTTGTCCTTCATGTTAAGGTTTTGCTTATTTAACTAACTCTGAATTCGTCCTAGTGTTGACGCTTCTCACCTGTCATAAGTATCCAATTACACTCCTACTAATGCATAAAGCTAGAATGCCCTCATTAACACTTGTAATCAGCTGCTGTGTGGATCTTAAACTCCAGTCTCTTTGCATTCTCAGTGCTGATGGCAACATTCCACTGTACTTATTCGCAATGCTTAATTAAAACAAGTAGTCCCCATTATGGATTTGGATAGTGTTATTAGAAGATGAAGTTTATATGAAAATTATGTGGTAATTTATTTACACAATACATTTCGAACAATCTGATTCCGCACACATTCACTTGTCAAGTCAATTTTTGTGAAAAATAAGGGCAGTTAAAATACACAAATTGACTAAAAGGATTTAAGAATAATAGGGATGATTCACACACACTTCTGTCCACTACAGTGTGAGAGAGGCTTGGTGAAGTGTTTAATCAAGAGAGTTCAGCGTATTTGTGCAGCTGACGTTAAAGAGGATGAAAATAAAGTACTGATGGATACTCCCGTCGGGAACGTATAACCACTAAAAATTTTAAACTGATGTAGAAGTCAGTTAGTTTTAAAAGCTGCAATCCATTCTGCCCCTGAGAAAGATGTTTTAATTAATTTATTGTATAGCGGGGTAGTGACTAGTAAGATTTTAAGACAAACTAATATTAGTCATCCGCATTACCTATTATGCGGTTCGGCTTATAAATATTGAAAAAGCCGAAAATGTGCTTTACTGCAAACCCCTAAAGTACACAAGTGATTGTCACATCCCACACTATATACCAATCTTGTGTGTGTGTGTGGACACACATACATAGGGAAGAGTAATCACGCTTTGCATGAAGTTAGGGAGAGCGTATTGCGAAATTTTTAGTAAAACAGAGGAACTCTGAAAAATCGACAGACATCAATGGCAGACTACCAACTTCGTTAGATTTTTTGAAGTATTCATGCACTGCTTTACTATGAAAAATTGTTACCGTGATATACATGTTAATCATATTAGTCGGATAATGATTTTTAGTGCATGCGTTAGTCTTGTCAACATAAAGCTGTTGACTTCCCGACTGGTTGGTTGGGGTCCTCAGGATAGATGGTGAGAACCTATGACGGCTGGAGATAATTTGTGGTATGGTTGATTGGCGCAGATGTATTCACTCTTTGTGATTTATCATATCCGGTAAAATTCCATTGTTCTTCCATATTACTAGTTTTATTTTTCGCTCACACTTCTGTTTGTTATCTCTCTTTTGTTGAATAACATTTTACGGTCTTCTCTAGCCTTGTGTGCTACAAAGAGGAAGTGTGGCAACTCGAACTGGTGCACATCTGTGCAAAATTCTACGTTTAAACTAGTTAGTTAGTTAGTCAGGCAGTCAATCAGTGATAGATTGTTTTCCATTTCTGAATCGTTCCATACGTGAATATAATAGAATGTGCTGCTGTTGCTAACATGTCGCCTTTTTATTATTGAGGATCTAGTAGAAATTGAATTATCGCATTGGATTGTTGTACACCACCAACGAAGTGATCGCTTGCTCAACATACCCTAATCTTATGTCAGTTTCGTGTTAAAATTGCTGCTAAGATTATAATGTATCATCCTTCATCTTGAATGTTATATCGCTTGGTGTGCACAGTGTGGGTTCAAGTTTTCCATCTTATAAATAATAACTAGTTGCGTTAACCACTACTACTATTCTGAGACATGTGTGAGCCACGAAGTTATCTGATCGATTTGATTCCTACCAGATTGAGTCATGAGCTACCAACAGATGTTAACACGATACAACTACTTTGTAAAATCTAACTATACCTCACTTCAAGCTGACCAACTCCACTTCTTCCGACAGTTTCGAGAAACAGGGGAAGAGTGAAGTGTTTATAATAGCAGTACGCAGTCATAGCTGCTGACAGAAGTGGGTTTATCACTTTAACAATTTGTTGACAAGTTCAGTGAGAACATATTATTTTCAATTACTGAAGAGCTCCACCTATGCTGTATGCATTTAGATAGCACATCATCTAGATTAGAAAACGTTTCTGCATTATTTCATCTTGTCTGACAACCTGGTACATCCTAGGGTGAATGGCTAGACTTCGGTCTTGCTCTCGAATTTCTCCCTTGTGGTCACGCGTCTGCCAGATAAGTACTGCTCACCACCTTCACATGGCACACATGTCGCTCCCCACAAAGTTGAAGGAGTGAATGTTAACGTTTGACACTTACAACCTGATTGGTGGACATGCTGTCCGGCATAGGGGAGCTGGAAAAACCCTGAATCCAAACCTATGATGTACATGGGCTGCACAATCATTGTCTCCGCTTACACCCCAACCGACTGCAGGTCAGATGAACCAAAGGATGACTCCTACCAGAAACTGTCTAGTTTGCTGCAAAAAGCAAAACGCTCAAATATAGTTGTTTTAGCAGGTGACTTCGATGCCCAATTAGGGAAGTTGTGCCAGACTGAGAAGTATATAGGTGGCACGTATGGAGTTCCCTGTCGACGAAGTGACAACGGTGATCGTCTTCTACAGTTCTGTTCAGATAATCATCTTTTCCTAGTCAGCTAACGTCTGACACTTACAACCGGACTGGTGAACATACTGTCCGGCATAGGGGAGCTGGAAAAACCCTGAATCCAAACCTATTATGTAAATGAGCTGCACAATCTAAATGTATCGAATGGCACATGAACCTGTTTTGGCCGTCCACAACCATGTGAACGTAGCTCCTGACGCCGGTCCACTGCCTTGTGGACTTGATTTCAAGTACAATACTGAGGGATGTGGTCCCTTTTGTTTATGTGGCACATCTCTTGGTGCCCATAATATTCCACGTTTGTGTTTTAATACTACTGATAATAATACTACTAATAATAATCGAAATAATTCCATTGCATATATATTCCATTTGTTACAAATACAGCTGCACGAAAACATGTTAATCGTATGTGTGTATCAGCAAAGATTCCTCTAATCGAATCTGGTACTGCTGGTTACCTGGGACAAGTTGAACCATTGCTTCCTGCCATTCAACTAGATGATGAATCAACAAATTTGGATGGAAAACTGAGTGACAATTTGTCAGCCTATCGTACTGGATGTTATGAATGTCAACCACGGGGTTTAGGTCAACGTCATTATCCTGCTTGTACTATACGTAATACACCGTCTGAACCAGTCCATTGTGTTGTATGGGCTAAGTACTTATTCAAGTAAGATGGTTTATATGTGTTGACTAGTTTTACTCTATGAAAAATTCATGTGGTAGGCGATGTAGTCAAGTGTTTAGAATAGTTATTGCTAATTTTGTTGACTTCAACCAATTGTATAGTGGGTGCGCGCCAACCTGTGCTAAAGTCTGAACAGCATTTAGTATTGTAATGGCAGTAGACAAAGACCACGCAACAGATCGTTTATTTGAGAAAATCAACAGATATTTATAGATTTTTATGTACATTATTATTAGCGTTATTACTAGCAGAGAAACAGCGTCTTCTGATTGGTCGTTTTCTCACTGGAAGTTATTCTATCATCTCTTTGTGGCCGTTTCTTTGAAGGTCAGATCATTTATTTGCTAATTGTATCCGCCCACTCTAAGTCTTTGTTCTTGTTTTTCTCGTGACCAAGATTTGGGACGTAAATTGCTGTTTATCAATTTTGGCTAGCAGACAGCTCTCACCACAGTAACACTAGGTGTTGATGGCTTAGTGGTAGAATGCTCGCCAACCACGCATGTGGTCCGGGTCTTGATTCTCGGCCGACGCACTCCTAAACCTACCTCGCTAAGAGGGTAATAAGATCGGTAAAGAGGGAAGGTTGGGCATAAGGCCAGCAACCCCCCTCTTCACCCTGTAAAAATGAAAAAAGACTACTGCTACCGAAACTTTAAAAGAGCTCTAGCTTGAAGCCCCATATTCCACTAGGAGCGTCAAGGTGTAAAATAAAAAAAATTAATAAGCTGTATGCGACAGTTGATGAGCATACACGTGATTGTTAAATTGTGGTGTATATCGATGAAAAGGCATGAATTCATCACAGTATATACTATTTAACTGATTGACAGGAGTTGGACACCAATCACATCGATCAGCAGTGCTTACTTAGCCATCCAGATCGAAGCGATTTAAACACCGAGCGGTCTATTCGCTACATCGATTGAGATGGCTAGGATACGTGTTGTGCATGTCGAACAATGCTAGTGGTCAAACCAAGACCTGCGATCAATCCATGTAGTCTTTGACAGTTGGTTTGAACCAACCGCAGAGATAAGTGTAGATTGCCCGACTGGTTGAGTTCTTCTAGATGTTACGATCTAATAGCTGGAGACTATTGGTGAATATGGCTGTCTCAAAACTGTTCTCAATATCGTGAATGCCTTCTCTGTTTGTGATCTCGCGTATCTATTAAACCGTTACGTGTTTCCTACGTTACTGTTGTTTCTCCCTGACGTTTTTACTCATTGTGGTTCTTTATAATCTTTTTCTGTCTTTTAATATATGGGTAAAACTTGGGCACTACTGTATTAGTCTGTAATTCCGCATTAATTTGTTTATTAGATATATCACACCCAGTGAGTGAAACAGTATTATTACTATTTACTGGATGACAATGTTTCGAACACTATTATTATTGTTCATAATCACAGCATCAATTATAATCACACAACTTCGAAACTTGAATGATATAGTTTTCTTTATTCTTTCCCATTCGTCGTCGTATAGGGGAAGTAGGATTTTCCAGATGTCCGGATGGACAGGTGTTGAATCAATCCGATTACACGTATTCCCTCTCAGTTGATTCGATAAATAAAGCTTCAGTCAGTTATCAATCTCTCTCTCTCCACCCTGTTGTTATATTAGATTTTAAAACTGCCACTTTATCCCATCATCCTGTTGTATGGTTGTGTGTAGTTGCTTGTGGTGTAGTGGTACAGCTGAACTATTCTCTAGATTTCTTATCTTTCTAGGATCAACTAATCTAGATTTTGCTAGATTTTTGAGAAGCTTTGAAAGCTGAATAATTACCCTGATAAATTAATCCTAAAGTATGTAGGAAAATGTAAATATAAAGTTAATAATATTAGTACTGGTGATAATGATAACAATAATAATATTAATGATGACATGCATATGAAACATGCACAGGATAATGACAACACCAGCAATAGGCAATGTGAATCATCAGTAGTACTTCCATACAAAGAAGAACTTTGGAGACCTTACTGAGAATTCTCAACAATGCAGGTAGGAATAAAAGTGGTATTCAAACCCACACAATCAATTAGAAACAAGCTTTGTCAGTTAAAGGGGCAATGCTGTGGAGCCAATTAAACAAAATATTAACTGAGTTTATCTCATACTCTGCTGCAATGATTGCCAGTGAGATCAAATACATAGGTCAAAGTAGTAGAACGGGATCAAAATCTAGCAAAATCTAGATTAGTTGACTCTTATGGGATAAGTTTCAAAGTTGTGTGATTATAATTGATGCTGTGATTATGAAAAATGATGAATTGTGTTCGAAACATTGTCATACAGCAAATAATAATAATACTAGTTTGACCATGGATTGATATCAGTTAGAGAACCATTGAAAACCAGCGAGTACTGGACGGTTCTTTCATCCTAGTTCGGGAATCATTGGCAGTACGCACCCACTGTACACTGGGGTTCGGACCCAGGATCTTCTGGTTACAAGGCGAGTTAGCTCGTATACCATTCAGTCACTGGAACCCGATTCAATTATCCATGAACTCTGAGTTCTACAAATTCGTGATTTAGCGCGACCACCAACCAATGTCATCGGTGGGAAATCCATCCTCACAGACATGACAACATTATTGAGCAATTTTTATTCGTTTAATTATGGCTTAAATTTCTGAGGTTTTTTTCAGATATAAGATACCATGTATTTTGTCTAATAAGAGGTTGTTGTTGTTGTTATTATCGTTATGGTCGTCGTTTTTCACCAGTCTGACTTTTGTATCTACCTCTCAGTGTGTTGGAGGTTGATTCAAGTGGTCAGTTTGTTATAGTATCGTGTTGTGGAGGCGCATCGAAGTCAAGTTAGACGAATCCAGCAGACCCAGGTGACATTACGTCATAACAGTCAGTTAGAGAACCAATTGAATTGAAACCATCACTGGAAAGATTCAGTTAATATGAAGGGCATAAATCATATCATCGCTTAAAAAGCAACCTTTAAAGGAAATATTTTTTTATGGTCGCAGAATACACTCCACATAGACGTCTAAGAGGTACTTAATCTTCATGAGGATAGGGTAGTAACGAATGTCATGCGTCTAGTTCTTGGTTTTGGTGCAAACTGGATTCTTAAGAAAAAGGTGTAAACAGCAAAGGACTATACCATCCTGAGAAGGATGTTGAAGGTAGTCAGTAGGACTAGTGGTGTAAAACTCAGTCAGCTCGTCACTACACTAGTTGAATGGCATCTGAACAGATGCGAAAAAATGGTCTAAAACCATACTCTCCGACCACCAACACCCCCTCTATTCCCAACCCTCGCCTTGTATCTCATCAAGTAGAACCAGAAATCAGTATAAAATAATTTATGCTCGTACAACCAAGTACAGGAACTCAACGATACCATATTTGGTCCGTGTTCTAAGCGACAGAGACAATATTAAGCGCGAAACCTATGACTTGCTTTGTTGTCAATAACATAATTTTAGGCTCTTTTATTTCTCTCTTATTTTGTATTCTATAGTGAACTCCTTCTTAAACATACTTAGCTACCTAAATTATTAACATTGACTTACTTTTTTGTACTTTACTGTATTCCTCCTTTTGTGTATTTACTGGTTCCGACTATATTAGCACTATGAGTAGTACAAAATTGTCCTGCCATTAACCATCATGTAATTATTAGATTTTGTGGTTGTTTTTTCTTATTTTTTTATTTTTTTCGGTAATATTAACTGACAATCTTGGTTGTGAACGCCATTTTCACCATCTTAAAATTTTGTATTATGCAGGATTACTCACACTACCACTACAAACACTGCATTAGATCTGACAATAAAAAACAAAACAACAACCCTGAAATGTTATTTTATGGTTGTTTATAGTTGTTTCAACCAAATTAACTGATCATCTTGACGATAAACATTCTTTAATATCATTTCATAACTTCTTGTATGACTATAGCTTTACTGTCACCATGCATAATCACATAATAGCTTCCACTACCCAATGCTGATATATTATTATATGCTGTCTATTTTCTTTTGTACTTCTTGGTATTTTTTCGCATTTTTCAAAATTATTTTCGTGTTTTTTGTTGTTGTTGTCTTTATATTTAGTTTTTTGAAATACTCCTTTTAAATGTTTGATAAAATTAGATGCAAATATTGTAGATATGTGCTGAAAATTCCACACTGTACCACTAGTACTGTTTCTGGAATAAAGCAAATTATTATTATTAAAAAAATTTTCTTTTCGACGATTCATTTTCATGAGCTGTACAATCGTAATTATATTTAACAAAGAAATCCTTAGACCAATCAGATACTGGTAAACTGTGTCCTAGAAAAGTGTATTACACCATCTGTACATAGCTGGAGCATTAGCTCTTCGGGATCTGAAACCGAACCTCTACATTCAATTAGGGATAAACACATTCACTCGGCCTACCGTAGCCAGAGTAAAGTTCTTATTATAATTTTCCTACTTTGTATTATGGTATACGAGACAGCTTGCCTTGTAACTGGAAGGTCCTGGGTCCGAACCCCAGTGCACAGTGGGTGCGTACTGCCTATGATTCCCAAACTAGGATGAAACAGCAGCTGTCCAGTACTCCCTGGTGGTTTTCAATGGTTCTCTAACTGATATCAATCCGTGATCAAACTCGTTAAAACAAATCTAATCCTTACAAACCAACTCTTGAAAAGTAATAATACTGTTTCACTCACTATGAGTGTGAGATATCTAATCAACACTTCATGTGTTTCATTAAAGTGTATGACAACTTGAATTGTTGCACTTCTGTACAAATTTTCTGTGTTGAGATGTAGTCATTTGGCTTAACACAACTTATAAATTCGAGTAAACAGTGGTAATTACCTTTATATGCAAATGGTATAATACATTTCAGCGTGTTTGAGAACTTACTTAAACTTACACAGTTCTACTGCATCCTTGTATTTTTAATTGAATATTATAACAATTATGGAAGTTTCATTATAATAAAGGTTTTTGTATTTCCCAATGAATGAAAAACAAAACGATATTGTTTTTACTGACGTTTCGCTATTTAATGGTAATAGCTTTATCCAAGTATTATTAAACCGGAATCCACAAAATCTCAGCATATATATAACAAACAGTAAGAGGGTGAGAAAATAAACATAGGTCAAGTTAAAGGGACATATTGAAAGTAAAAATAGCGATGAAGATAACTAAACCAGATTACAAAGGTAATAGTATGTCTGTTATGATATCAAGATAAAGTTTACTAACTTGATCATCGTTCGTCTGTCTGGGGGCATTTTTAGTTGTCAAGTTGGTGAATTAGTAAAGATAACAAAACCATCATGTGTAGACTGTTGGATTTGATAAGTGTATAAGATTATAAAAGCAGCGTGTGTTTACATAATGAAAGTGTTTATCACATTCGTGTTGGTTTTGTCACTTGATGGGGGGAGGGAGGTGTTGTAACCAGGTCAGATTCTGTTTTAGTCCATCATTCCTATTCAGGCAATTTTGATTCCACTTGATATGTAGTGCTTCTGATATTAGACGTTCTTTGTGATTTCTGAATTGCTTTTTCTGGATTATTTCAATATTTTCAAAATCAATTTTGTGGCCTGATTCTATAGCATGTAGACCTATGGCTGATGATTTTTCAAGTTTTCCTAGTTCAACCGGATTTCTCGGTGGTCGAATAGATGCTCTCCGGTGTTCATTTCTTCTGATTTTGATTTCCCTCTGGCGATTTTTGTCCGATGTATATCGCATCACATTCCAAGCATCTTATTTTATAGACACAATTAGATAGAGAATCTTTAGGGATTTGGTCTTTTATATGGACAAGGTTGTTTCGTAGTGTGTCTGATGTTTTGAAGAAAACTCTAATGTCGAGTTGATTGAGTACTCTTCTGATATCATCTGACGTCTCTGCTCTATATGGAATGACGACTGTTGATGTCCATGTTTCCGGAATGCGTTTTCAGCCATACTTAATGTCTGTGTTTATTTTGTTGATGAAGTCCCATGGGTAGTTGTTTTGCTTGAGAGTTTCAGTAATGTTTGATATTTCTTCATTTTCTTTCTCATCGGTTATCAGAGAGTGTGCTCGTCTAAGAAGACTTGAAACAACTGAAATCTTTGCGCTGATAGGGTGGGATGATTTGAAGCCTAAATATTTATTTGAGTGGGTTTTCTTCCTGAATTTGGATATACTAAAATGTCCCTTTTCCCTTCTCTTAACTAGGCAGTGTATAAATGGTAGTTCACCGACGTCTGATTCTGCTTCCGAGGTGAATTGGATTCTGGGAGATACACAGTTTATTTTCTCCAGGAATGAATTGTGTAAATCTCGTTTTAGCACTACAAAAGTATCATCTACATATCTTAATCATATTTTAGGAGTGAGTATGCTTGAAAAGATGTTATTTTCGAATTTATTCATGAAAAGGTCGGCGACTATTGGGGAGACTGGTGAACCCATAGCAACACTATTTGTCTGTCTATATAAACTCCCTTTAAATGTAAAATAATTACTTTCTAGACAGAATTCCAAGCTCTTAATTATAATGAATATCATATACCCAATGCCCAAATTTTTTCAAACCGTTAAAAATGAACTTGGTTTGGACGTATATAAATTATGGAAGTTTGTTGAACATTTTTTTCTCTCCATTTTTTTTCTCACATCAAAAATAAAAACCTTGTAGCCAACTATTTGGTCAGTCGGATGTCGACGATGAAGATATCTCTCCAGATTTCTCAGATCCGGATTTACATAATCACGATCATAATAATAATATTAATAATAATAATGATCATAGTCAAATTGAAGAGAAGTTGCCTACAAATAGCCCCACCAATGATACACATAATTCAGAAGTAAAGAAGCCAAATCAACTAACCTTAAGAGAATGGTTTCGTCAACTTTCGTCTAGCCACTCCAATTCAACGGATACTGGGTTTCCATCCTCCCCTGCTAGTTCACTCGCTTGGAGATTATTTCATCGGGATATTGTCACCTTGGTTGGTATGCGTGATCTATGGGTAGATCGTCAAGATCGTCGTGAACCAACACCATTGGAGATGTCTACATTGAAGGAGGCGATAATAAACCATGACTCAGGTATAACCATTTCATTTTGTTTGATTAATAAGTGCTTTGCTTCTGTAAAAATATTTTGTGAATAACTTTCGACCTAATCTGGTCGTTTTTATTTTCGTATGAGAGTAAGACATCGAATTCCTTTGATATGTAATTTGGTGTTATTAATATTATTAAAATACTAACATGGTACATTTGGGGCACTAAGAGATGCGCTGCATAAATTGTTGTGCGACAGCTGGGATACTGTCCGGACGGATAGACTATTCCTCACCAATCCTTTGACTTGAGTTCTGATCGACGAGACAATGGAACAACGTCAGGAGCTGTGTTCCGACGGTTGTCGTCGATCGAAACAGGTTCATACGTGATTCCATCCTTCCGGGTTGTTAAGCCCCCGAGTACATCAAGGTACATCAGATCTGAATATGTAGCTCTGTTGTTCATTGGTCAAGGATCTGGGGAAGCGGTTTGGACCTCAATGCACTCACGTAAGGTTTCAGCTGCTAGACAGTATGACTAGACGTCACAAAATAGGTGTGACTGGTTGTTGTTCAGTTGCATAGGCAACGGAAATGACTTTGAAGTTACATTTCCTCCTTTTTTGTTTCCTTTGATGTAGTCTTGAGGGGATGAGGATATCACACTGGATCACACTATGTAGATGCATTCTTTTTACTTGATTTCCATTGGCAGCATTTTGTGCACTTTTCGATTGTATGCTTCGATAAAGTTGTTGAGGTCTGGAATATGCTGAAGTGTTTGTTTACTATTTCCACCGATAGAATCGATGACTAACGGCGGGGGGCGGTATGATGATGAAAAAAAGAAGTTTGTAGTATTGGTTGTTTAAGTATTTTGATGTGTATACTTTTCGTTCAAGGGCTTATTTCTTTATTTGATGCGTTTGCATTTCGAACGGAACATTGCGCTTCAAGTTTTGAATTTTAAATGGCATTGGTGTTGCTAGCCTCATTCCTCCATCAATAAATGAACGTTGAACTGAAACAGACTACATAGCGATAGGGTATCGTCGGCGAGGGTCAGTAGAAGACTGCCACTCCGTCTGGAACACGTGTGTATACTGTGATCACACCCTAGTTCCCTCACGTTTATGCTTACTACTAAACGAACATAAGAAAAACTGTTGGCAGCGAAGCAGTTACGTCCCCAACTAGATTGCGACTCTGAGTCCCTATTTAAGGAAGAAATAGCGAAATCAGTATCTGAGGTCGAGTGCAAACCTCCTCGTGAGCAAGTCTGGCACAACATACAGTTAGCTGTAGACACAGCTGTAATAGCTGTTAATAACATAAAACCAAAAGTTCCAATGGTTTTCTACTGTTTCATCCGAGATGATTAAGGCAGGAAGACCGATTCCGGAGAGCTCCGAATATGATGAGGAGCGAAAGCTGCTCAAAAACGCAAACTAACAGGAAGTTTTCTCAATGAATCCACACCTAACCTCCTCTCTTTACCGGGCTCACTACTGGCTAGGCGAGGTTTAGAGGATGCGCGTCGGCCAGAAATCGAACCGGAACCTTCCACATGACTGGCAACCATTCCAGCAAAAAATAAAAGATCTTAATTGTGATTGTTATGTCTGTCATTACGTTCAATATGTTCCATGTCTACTTACAAGCTTCATATGATCTCCTCCAAGTTACTGTCAGACTCTGAACTCGTCGCTTTCTATTGAGAGTACACTCGAGAGCCTGGCGAGTGATGTCAATTTCGTGATCTCCTCAGCATATGTCCATTCCTTCTCCATTCCTTTCTGCTCATTTGTTGTACAATACACTATTGCCAGAGTCCCTTGGTGTTTGTCGTTTGTGACCATCTGAACTTCAGATTCCCACGAAGAGACAGCTGTTGATGAAAGTCCTACATTAGTTTGTTGGAAATGCTTTAGAGTGATGACGCGCCAAATTTCTGTACTCCACATAGAAGCACTAAGTGGTTATTTCCAAATAGTAATAATAATGATTTAGCCGGATGAAAAGTAAACCTATAAATATCACTACAAGCTAGTGGGGAGGAGCAATACAAATTCAAAGTGCACTCGGCACACGCTTCATCACTGCCCCGCCGAGACCATCGGGTTATAGGGGGATCACATTCCAGTTCAGTCAATGAGTTAAGTCCCAACGACCTACGAATTTCAGCTGCTGTCAGTCTGTAGTCTGATATCTCTGCCAGCCAATGTCATCTATAAATACCCGTCGCCAACACCGAACATGACGTCGCATTAGAAATGTAAGAAAATTTGTCTTACCACTGGGCATTGTTGATTTCAGGTGGCAGCTCAAATCTTAGTAATTCGATCTGTAGTAGGGATGGTCTACAGTCACTTCCGACCACTTCCTAATGTTGGTACCTGACGGAATTCATTTCAAAGTCAATGATGTGCCAACAAACTGGAAGTATACTTTGATTGGACACTAGTAACTAGTGTGATGTGTCTAGTTTTTTTTTGGTGCAGACTGAATTCTATGAGTCAGTCAGGTTTGCAATGTGGCCACCATTCTAAGTAGCTCGCCATCATGGTGCACATTGATTTGATGATATTAGGTGGTTGGAGGCAATCGGCACAGGAAGCCCAGTCTTGGACCTAGGTTTCGTGCTAGTTGGCACTCACCAGTCAGCAAGGCGTATCTGCAACCTTGAAGGAACTCATGTTCCACCCCTCTGAGATTCGAACCCACGTCACCCAGTGCTTCAGTCAGAGACGTTACCACTGAGCTATTCAGACTCGCGATTGACCTTCTGTAGGACTGTAGTGGATACTTTGATTGGACACTAACTGCAGCACTGGGTGACGCAGGTTCGAATCTCAGAGGGGTAGGACATGAGTTCCTTCAAGGCAGTTGCAGATACGTCTTGCTGACTGCACTGGTGAGTGCCAACTAGCACGAAACCTAGGTCCAAGGCGGGGCTTCCTGTGACTGGTTGCCTCCAACCATCTAATGTCATCAAACTGTGGAAGTATGATTACAGTTTAAATCAAATAATTATTGATTAATCCTGTTCGATGTATAGATATGGAGTGAATGACTTGTCAGAAGTGTGCATGTCCAAATTCTATAATTGTTTGTCTATCAGTTTTAATCGCTTACAAGCATTTCTCTTCCTTCCCTTCTTCAAGCATTGTCATGTACATCACTGGATTCATCAAATTCCAATGAACTACGCGATCAGCGTAAATTGTCCACATCTAGTTGGCTTGAAATCTTTTTGAATTCTGTTGAAAAATTACAAAGACAAGTAGAAGATGGCAGTGGAGACAAGTTTTTAGTATGGGATAAGGTGAGAAAGAAAAAATTAATTTTAGATATATCAGAATTAACTGATTGTTTTTAAAATGTATCCCTCCGATCCCCTCATTTTTGCCATTTTCTCAGTTTATCATATTTTATATCATTATTATTGTTAGTGAACATGGAGAAAACAGAGGTGATGAAGATTCCTGGCCAACACTACCACTACCACCACCAAAAACGACAACAACAGATAACAATCAGCATAAATGGAAGGAACCTGAAAGAAACAACCTCCTTTACTTACCTGGGAAGCATCGTTTCAATTACAGGGGGAACTGACGAAGATATCAAAGCCAGAATCGGAAAAGCAAGACAAGCTTTCACTTCTCTCAAGTCTGTGTGGAGGTCAACAGCACTCAGCATGAAAATAAGATCCGGATTTTCAACTCCAATGTGAAGTCAGTCAGTGCTACTGTACGGATCAGAGACTTGCACTGCGCGTCATAAAGAGTATCTCAAACAAACTACAGACTTTCATTAACAGCCAGTTGTCTTCGCTCAATACTCAAGATCAGATGGCCGGCCAGAAAAGATCAGCGACAGAGAGGGATCTCTGGCAATGAGCGAACCAACACAGCAGGAACCGATTGTGAAACAAATATGCAGGAAGAAATGGAGATGGATTGGCCATCCTATGAGGAAACCATCAAGTGACATCACTAGACAAGCCATTGCTCCAGTAGAACCCAAAAGGGAAGCGGTGAGTTGGTCGTCAGTGCAAGGGTGACTTCGAGGGTTCATGTGAAGAGGAGATGAAAGCATGTGGGCAGACTTGGAGCCAGGTGAAGACTAGCAGAGAACCGAACGGAATGGAGACGCACGGCTGAAGCCCTATGTTCCTCTAGGAATTAAAGGAAACAATTATAATTATTATTATTATTGGTATTTCCCTGGGTTCCTAGCGAAGCATATGGCTTCAGCAGCACATTTACATTCCAGTCTATTCTCTGTGGTCCTTTTCAGCTGGCTCCACTCCACGATTGCCCAGTAAGCTTTCATTTCCTCCTCCTCCTCACACGATGTCCTTCATGTGATCAACCTTGTCGTTTCCTATTCACGTTTCACTCGAGGTGCTTCTTGCTTAGGATGTGATATCTTTCACTCAACAGTCTTTTTCAGTGTGTACCCAATCCATCCACTTTCATTCCCCTCTGCATATTTGTTCGGCGTGTGTTAGGTTCTTGATTGGTTCGTTGGTTGTTGTCAGAGTTGCTTGTCACTCATCCTTTTTGTTCGATCATGTGATCTTCTAATGAAGCCAGTTGTTGATGGGAGTCTGCCGTTATTTGTTTAAATGATTTTATTATTCCCTTGGGTTCTGAGTGGAACATAGGGCTTCAACAACACATCTCCACTTTGTTCTATTTGGTGCTGTCCTCTTCAGCCGGTTCCACGATTACCCATAATCTCTCATCTCCTCCTCGCATCTCACGATCTCCTCCATGTCACCCTTGCCTCGACGACCCACTCGTCGCTTCCCATTGGGATTCTACTCGGGTGGTGGTGGCATGGCTAACTCCTCATGTATTTCGATGGCCTCCTCAACATATGCCCCATCTCCATCTCCATTATCTCCTACATATTTGTTGAGCGATCGGCTCTTGATTGGTTGGTTGGTTTGTTCCACTGCAGAGTATCTTGTTGTTAATTGTTTCTGGCCAGCCAGCCGCCTGGCCAGCCATTTGATCTTCAGTATGGAGCCAACCAGCGAAGGTGGCAGCTGTTGGTAAAAAAAGTCTGAAATCTGCCGTAGCCATCAAGTCTCTAGACCGCACAGAAGAATTAACCAACTTGACGGTACTTTAATTGGTGGATGGTGACTAGCAGTGGAATCCAGGATGCGCATTTCATCTCATTTGGGACTTGTCACTGGGTGTGCCTGCATTCCCAGTGAGTGATGATGTTCCCAGCGGGACTCGAACCCAGTGACCATATTGTCAAAAGCCAAAGCGTTATCCACTAGACCACTTGGGCCACGAGAGTCACCTCTTGTGCAATGGGTCATATTAATTCTTTCATTGAATTTTAGATTTTCCCGTCGATTGATTGGACCGAAGTGCTCGATCTCAGGTTGACATGTCGAGAACATCATCACTCAATGGGAATGTAGGCACATCCAGCTGGCGAGTTCCAAATAGGACGAAATGCACGTTATCCTGGATTCTACTGCTAATCACCATCCACCAATCCACTTCTAATTACATGCCCAGACATCGTCGAAGCATCTGCACAAGAAGTCGACATGTCAACACCTGAGACCGAGCACTTCGGTCCAGTCAATTTAATGGGAAAATCTAAAACTCAGTTAAACTTGACAGTACTGTTGAAAATCCCAGTCTTTTTCCTTATGGTGATTTCAAGTTTTGTATATGTGCAAATATATTTTAATGAGATATTGTACATATATATTTGAATTAGGGTTTAGTGGGATGATTTGTTATGGGAAGGAAAGACTAGGAAGCATTTCATAGTTTAGTTCTCCTGTAGACCTGTGCATGTTGGAAGGTATTCTCAAGACTCATGTAAATGTATGTGTGTCTGTCTGTCTGACGCCTATCCACAAAAGTTACAAGTGACTCATTTTCTTCTGATCTGACTTCTGAAGGGACTGGAGTGTTAATTCACTTAAAAGTGTTAGCGGACGATGATTAAGGCTGAAATGAATATCAGGTTAGGAGGAGCATTCACAGAATTTGAACCAGTGGTCTGCGAACTATGTTGTGATCTCTGAGTGATCTCTCAGATCACCATTATTTCACTGCAATAATCACCGTATAATAATGCCCACCTGTTCCATATCCTTGAGCAGCAATCTTCGTATGTTTCGCATGCCATTCGCCCCTGTAAAATGCAAGATGCTGCTACAGGACTGGACTACGTCAACTCCTAGCTCAGTGATAGGGAGTGAAGTGATAGAACATGTTGACCACTTCACCTATTTGGGAAGTTGTATCAGCACCAACGGACTGATTGGCGACGAAATCACAGCACGGATCCAGAAAGCTCGGGCTGCTTTCGCTAACTTACACTATCTCTGGCATAGGACTGACATCCAACTATCAACCAAGGGACGCGTGTACTGCTCAGCAGTTCGCTCCGTCCTTCTCTATGGCTGGCTCTGAAACATGGCCAATACGAGTTGAAGACATGAAAAGGTTGACTGTTTTTGATCATAGATGTCTATGATCTCTTTCTCACGTTAGGTGGTATAATAAGGTAAGTAATGTTGACGTTAGGCGTAGAGTGTTGGGCAGGGAGGGAAAATCAATCGAAGAGGCTATAAAGTTACATAGATTGAGATGGCTAGGTCACGTGCTGCGCATGCCTAACCATCGCCTCCCCCGACGGACGGGCATTACTAGCTGATATAGGTGCAGGTTGGAAAAGAGTAAGTGGTGGCCAAACAAAAACATGACATCAATCCATGAAATCCTTGACAGTTAAACTGAGTCAGGTAGGTAGGGAGATGCAGACTACCGGGTTGGGACCTGGCCCGCCCTCGGGACTCTAAGAATCAATGGCTGGAGACAATGGGTGACATGGCTGAAAATCGTTGTCAATGGCTTACGCAGATGTATTCAGTCTCTGTAATCTTTCATATTTCTCTTTACCATTACTCATTCTGTTTCACTCTTATACCTACTTGTCAAAACTCTATTGATTCTCTTCACTCATCTTCTTGTCTACCTTTGTGTGCTATTTGGAACGTGGCAAGTCGAACTGGTGCACTTCGGTGCCAAGTTCTATGTTGAATCCAGACAGACCTGTCCCATATGTATGATGAATGAGTGACTTGGAAGCATCACATTAGTTGCCTTTTCACTTGACAGGTGGTCAATTCTGTGTGATAATTGTGGTGAAACAATGATGACCTGGTTGGTTTGGTTGGTTGGCAGTTTTACTATTTTTCCGACTCGATTTGATTTTCAGTGCCTTGTTATCAAAATAATACTTTATGTCTGTTGAGTAAGTTGGTCAGAGTAACATTTTGACGTACAAAGTTTTAGAACATGATGATATCCACTTTTGGTTTAATGGTTTGACTAGCAGTGGGATCCAAGTGGTGTATTTTTTGTCCTCATCTGGATGTACGTGCATCCATAGGGAGTGAGTCAGTGATTGTGTTCCCATAGGGAATTGAACACAGTCAATAAGTCAACGGGAAATTCGAATTAACCTGGGAACTGCCTGTATTTGTGTAATAATAATAATTACTGTTTAAACACAAGCTTGGTAAATTATAGTCACCAAGAAGATGCGCCGCTCAAAGTCGTCTTATAGTTTGTACAAGAAACAGTTGGTTGTTTTAACAAGCCACTACCAGACCCCCAAGCCTTTGACTTGAATTTTGATTCACATGACAGTGTAGCAGTATTCTGGTTGTGGAGCTCATGTATATCATAGGTTTGGAATCGGGGTGGGTTTTTCGGCTCCTCTAGGTAGACCAAAATGTCCACCATTCAGGAAGTTCGTATTCGCCCTTTCAGTTTTGGGAGGAGCACCTGTGCCACATAAATATAGTGAATAGGGATACAAACGCATGGTCACATCAAAGAGAGCATTTCAAGAGGTAGATGGAAGTCTATCCACCCTCGGCTGTACAAGGTTGTTTACGGGTGGATTCGAGCACGCAAATGGCCGACTTAACACTAATGGTATAATTCATATCAATACTATTCTTTGTTATGGGTAAGCCTTCTAGTCTATCAGCTGCGCATATTGATGTTTTAGAGTTGAATTGTTTGCCTAACCATTCGGGTGGGTATATGTTCCTTCCAACCCTCACCTACAAAACATAGTAACTCCTCTCTATAGGTGTGTGCTTCCGTACATATACGCGTAAATTGTTATACAATATTAGTTGTGACGTAATTTCTCTTCTCACCTTTTGTTTCGCATATCATCATCACCATCATCAGGATGATCAAGAAGCTATGGATTTTGTGGCATCCGCTGCTGTCATTCGATCACAGTTGTTCCATTTACCCGGTGCTGATCAACTCACTCGATTTACAATCAAATCTCTAGCTGGGAATATAATCCCTGCAGTAGCGTCTACAAATGCAATTGTCGCTGGGCTGATGGTACTTCAAGCTAGACATATTTTATCGAAACATTATGAGGTAAATTATTTTGTTATCTTGATTGATTTTATTGATCTCTGTGTGTGTGTGTGTGTTTGCATGTGCGTTTGTGTGTATGTTCCCCTTTTCTAATGATTGGCTACATAGTTTTCAGAGCTTTGAAGACACATCTGTTAGCGTGTAATGCCGATTTACGTATATAATCGGTGGGTATTGGTGTTAGTCAGGAGTAAAAACTGTGTATAGTAGTCTATCAATGATGGCTAGCGGTAGAATCGCGGGCGTGCGTTTTTTCCTATTTCGGATTCGTCTGATGCATATGCCTATATCCGTGGGGGGAAGGAATATTCCCGCTGAATCTCATTCCAAACTCCCCTAGTATTACCCACAGCTGCTTAAATTGTGATGAATTGTGTCAGTTGATGGATGCAAAACTGTCGTACGTATAAGAAAGCTAAACCAATTGATTATTGCCTTAATTTGTGAAAATTCGTTTAGAAGACACAGAAATCGTGTGTATCTTGAGATAGTAATCAATTAGTTGGAGGATTTCATCATGAGCTAACATCGGTTAGAGAACCACTGGAAAATCTGAGAGAACTGGACAGCCAGCCGTTTCGTCAGACTAGCTTGGGATTCTTCGGCAGTATGTACCCACCACAGGGGTTTAAACCCAGGACCTTCTAGCTACACAAGGCTAGCGAGCTCGCAGTCCATTAAGCCACTCACTGGGACCCGATCAAATGACCAGCTCGTGAATTCTAACTTCTACTAATTCACGACATGGCGCGACCACTTAGCAATGTCTTGTTCGATGAGTAACTGTCCTCACCTTCCACTTGCTGTACGCTACTGGTCACGGTTCCTTCAACCAAACAGATGAAATCTCTACAAACCAGGACTGGAAAACTGAATAGTCACTCAAATCACTTCTGGATCTCTGCGTTGGTGTCTGTTTAACTAAATAATGGATTTCTGGATGTGGAATCACTGTAACACAGATCTTTATCGGATCATATGTTAAGATTCATTCAGACAAAACAACCACTAATCAAATCTAGATACATTAATAGTCCAGTTTTGTGATGTAAGGGTTCTAAATTACCTCTCATGTGTTCAGTTGTGGTTTACAAGTGTAGGTTATGGTGTGGAACTATTTATTTCCGGAATAAAGTAACAATGTCTGAGATTGTATTTCTGGAGAAGAAAACACTTCCCAAGGAATGTTAGTCATTTGTGGTGAGCGTCGTACTGCTGCTTCACACCTCGTGAAGCCTTGCCTTCCCGATCCTTGCTTTGATATCCTCATCATTTTCGTCCGCCTGTAGTTGAAACGATGCTTCCCATGTCGGTAGGTAAAAGAGAGTGTTTCTTTCAGGTTCCTCCCATTTATGCTGGCTGATTGTTGTCTGTTGTTGTTGCTGCTGTTTCTCTTGGCCATGAATCTTCATCATCTCTGTTTTCTGTATATTCACCTGAATTCACATCTTTCTTTAATGCTTCTTCTGCCAACTTGTTGCTTTTCATCACATGCATATCTTCCAGTTTGTGAGAAATCAAACAAATATCACATCAGCGAAGTCCACATCCTCCAAGTGTTTTGTGTGGCCTATTTTCATTGCCCATGTCTAATTTTTAACCATTGTCTGTTAATCCATGAGTAACTAATGTCAGCTCATGATGAAAATCCTGAAACCAATCAAATCCCTACAAACAAACACTTGAATATCAATGAGATGCTCACTAGTGACTTGCCCTATTCAGGTAGGTAGTTGCCTGGGGTTCTAGTGAGAAGTCGTGACCAGTAGGGTGCAACAGGTCGGGCGTGAGGACAAATACTCGCCGAAGACATTGGCTAGGGTTCGCGCTATGTGAATTGGCAGAAGTCAGAATTCATGGACCATTGGATCGGGTCCCAGTGGCTTAATGGTATATGAGCTCGCCTCGTAACCAGAAGGTCCTGGGTTCGAATCCCGGTGGGTGCGCACTGCTGAAGAGTCCCAAACTAGGACGAAACAACTGTCCAGTACTCCCAGGTTTTCCAATGGTTCTCTAACTAATGACAGCTCATGATGAAAATCCTAAAACCAATCGAATCCCTACAAACCAACACTTGAAAATCCATGAAAAGTTATAACATTATTGATATAAGTATGAAACTTGGACACTGTGGTGGAGTATAACTCCATTATAGATGAAATTTTATTTTGATAAAATCACACAGTGCTGTTATACAGTAATATTAACTGATGACCACGTTTCGAGCACAAACTATTGCCACTCATAATCACATCAAGTTACTCACAACTTTCTTGCTTCATTTGTATACATGAGTAAAAATTGATGACTAGACATTTGAATAAAATAAATGTCAGATAATGTGCATTCGGAAATAATATATTAGCATTATCAATCAAGTAAATCAGATGGGAAATAAGACGAGTGTTTTTATAGTCATAATAAGTAACTTGTGAGAATGTTGTGATGTGCTTGGATTGAAATAGAATTTTGAGATTATTTATAATCCTCCTGTAGGTAGGCTCTGTAGGCTTAAAGACCCGGTGGACCCAATTAGACAAAATAATATAATTTACAAAATACCTTGCAATGACTGTGACTGAGATCAACTACATAGGTCAAACTAGTAGGTCGCGGGTAGTCAGGTTGTCGGAACATAAGAATTTAGCTAAGGTAAGAATGGCTGACCCCGAGAAGATAAATAATTTAGAAAAAAGCTCAGCACTGCATTGCACTGCATGCATTAACACACAAGCACATAATAGGGTGGGAGAGGGTTAAAGTTCTAAGAAGTAACCTATGTAGGTGGAGAGAGATTGATTGATTACTGAATCCTGGTTCATTGAGTCTACACCCAACACATGCAACAGAAATGACTCAATGCAAATACCAGAGATATGCATGGAAGATATTATTACCACCAGTCAGTCAAATCAGAAGAGGATAATAAATAATCTTAAAATTCTATTTCAATTTCACATACATTATAACATCCTAACAAGTTACTTATTTTGACTATAAATAAGCACTCGCCTTATTTCCCATCTGATTGTAATTGATTGATAACATTGATATTATTATTTCTGAATGTACTTTATCCTACATTGATTTCTATTCCAATATCTAATCGATTCCACTCATGTATATAAATGCAGTAAAAAGTTCAGTGAGTGAGTGACTTGATATGATTACGAGTAGCAATAGTTTGTACTCGAAACGTGATCATCAGTTAATATTATTCCTGTATAACAACACTCCACTGTGTGATTTATCAAAATAAAATCTTATGTATAATGGAAAAGTTATAACAATTGTCTTTAAATTCAACTTTACGTTCTTAGTATTTACTTAATTTTCTCAAAACTCTTTGTGTGTGTGTGCGTTGGCTACATGCAGTACAGCGGTGATTCTAAAAATGACTTCCTAATCCACCGTAGATTTAGTGAAGGCGTTTTATCAGTGAATTCTCCCATTTTATGAGCAGGTTGTTTATGACCCTTTGGCAACTTTTCCTTTTTACCACATTAAGTGATCATATACAGTAAAGCCACTAAGTAAAGAATGTTTTCTTCTTAATTTCCTCTTTATTTTTTGTTTCTAGCGTGTACGTACAGTCTACCTACATCGTCAACCAACTGGTCGTCGTGGCAATCGTCGTCTTGTTGTCCCAGTGAAACCGGCACCATTAAATCCTTCTTGCCTGGTATGCAGTGATACAATCAAAAATTCCCAGCTACGCTTAGTCTGTTCACCAGAAACACTTACTCTGCGTATTCTACGTGATCATATTCTAATCCGACATTTAGGCATGCTGGCACCAGATGTAGAACTGTCTGATCGTGGTGTTATTTTGATATCAAGTGAAGAGGGTGAGACAGATGAAGGTGGGTAGTAGGTGGTGTAGCCAAATTGTCGGTAGATGATTTTCTATATTTTCAAGTATTGTTTTACACTTATTAGTTTGGTTCCGGGTTCGGTCATTAAGTGACATTGGTTACAGAACCACTGAAAAGCCAGACAGTACTGGATAGTTGTTTCGCCCTAGCCTAGGACTCTTCATCAGTACTGCTCATCTGCTGCTGTTGAAACCCCGGAGCCAACCGGTTATATGGCGGGTTCGTGGACCATTCTGCCACTGGGACCCGACTTAATGGTCCATGAATTTCAACTTTTACTTATTTGTGATATATAGAGTAACCTGTAGCCAATGTCACTGGTGAGTCACTGTTGTCTTGCTCGACTTGGTGTACTTCGCTGGTCACAGCTTCCCACTGAAACTCCTGTATACAGCCAGTCGCTAGTGAGCATCATATGAATTACTAGCTATCGGCTTGCACGGATTTGATATAATTTCCATATCACGAATTGGTAGAAGTTGGAATTCATGGGTCCCAGTGTCTGGGTGGTCAACGACCTCGCCTTGTAACTGGTTGGTCCTGGGTTCGAATCGCCGTAGGATGGATAGTGCTGAGGAGCCTTAAACTAGGACGCAACAGCTAGCGACAATAGTAGGGGCATTAATTTGCTACAAGTTGCGTTTAAAATACTGGCTACTGTCTTGCTTCGTGGTGCAAAACACCTCAGCGGTTGGCTTGTGAAGAGCAGGCTGGGTTTCATCCAGGCAGTGGGTGCACTGATCATGTGTGTTCACCCTTCGTCAGTTGTTGGAATACCGCCATACATATTACAGGCTAATAGTCGTCGTGTTTTTAGATTTTAGGGCTGCGTTCGCTTGTCGTACAAAACTGGTCTCTGGAACTGTCTGTTGAAGAGAGGAGTGTTCGTGAGAAGTTAGTTAACCTTGTGAAAGCCCTATACAAAAGCAGCTGAAGTAGAGTGAGAGGGCATACCACAAGTTATCACCACTTTTCCCAACCAACGGTGGGGTTAGATAGGGTTGTGCATTCTCTCCATTTCTCCTTAACTTCGCTATCGATGGTATTCTGGAGTCAGCTTTGAAGGACGCTGCTTGATGGTGGCGTAGATCTGCTTCCTGAAGAAAGACTTTGACTTGGAGTATACAGACGATATCGTCTTACTGTGAGATAGCACTCAGGCTACTCAAACCGCTTTTAATCAGTCAGCGATCAGTGTCTCTAAGTATGACATGTGCTATGCTCCATACTTTTACAAGATTGGCAGGAGCCTGTAGCTGCACTCACCCTTGCAGGTGAACCGCTTGAAGTTGTTGTTAAGTTCATGTCCCTGAGTAGTTGTGTGAGTGCTGGTGGGGATGTGACGAACAAGATTTCCAACCTTCTCATGAAAGGTGGGGTTGGCATACGCCAATTTTAGTCACCTCCAGAGCTGTCGCGATATTGACCTGGTCATTAAAGATTGCGTTTACAATGTTCTTGCTCTACGCCTGTGAAACATGGCCTCTCTGAGCTGAGGATGTATGGCGACTCTGCGTATTCGATCATCGCTGTCTTTGTAGAATTGCTTGCTTCCGGTGACATCATCGTGTGAGTAATTCTGAGTTCCCGCTCTGTGTGTCTAGATACAGTGGAGGTCACTATTCGTTGAGTGCCTTTATCTAGAAAAACCGGTTTCGGTGTCTTAGACATGTACTACGAATATAATACCAGAGGCTTCCTTACCGACTTTTCTGCTGGTTAGTTCTGGGACTGGATGGAAAAGGCGGAAAGGTGGGCAGCCCACTCCCTATTTTCTTTATGTATTGTTGTTTTATTATTCTTCTGTGGTACCCACACAAAAAGCTTGGAGGATCTGGAATTCGCCGATGATATATGTCTGATTTCACACACACTGGAAGATATGCATGTGATGAAAAGCAACAAGTTGGTAGAAAAAGCATCAAAGATAGGACTTCAGGTGAACATACAAAAAACAGGGGTGGTGATGAAGATTCCTGGCCAAGAGAAACAGCAGCAACAACAACAACAGACAACAATCAGCATAAATGGGAGGAACCTGAAAAAAACAACCTCCTTTATCTTCCTGGGAGGCATCGTTTCAACTACAGGCGGATGGAACTGATGAGGATATCAAAGCAAGGATTGGGAAAGCAAGACAAGCTTTCACTACTCTCAAGTCTGTGTGGAGGTCAACAGCACTCAGCATAAAATATAAGATGTGAATTTTCAACTCGGATGTGAAGTCAGTGCCTTTATACAGATCTGAGACTTGGCGCCAAGTCAAAAATGGCACTTCAAACAAACTACAGACCTCCATCAACAGCTGTCTTCGCTCAATACTCAAGATCAGATGGCCGACCAGAAAAGATCAGCAACAGGGACCTCTGGGAGCGAACCAACCAGGAACTGATTGTGCAACAAATATGCAGGAAGAAATGGAGGTGGATTGTCCACCATACTCTGAGGAAACCATCAAGTGACATCACTAGACAAGCCATTGCTCGAGTGGAACCCGACAGAATGGGAAGCGGCGAGTTGGTCGTCAGTGGTTGAGGGTGACATGGAGGAGGTCATGTGAAGAGGAGATGAAAGCATGTGGGCAGACTTGGAGCCAGGTGAAAACTTTAGCAGGAATTAAAGGAAATAATAATAATATTGTTGTGTGGTGCATCTTCCTGGTGCCTATATTGTACCAGGTTCTGTGTTTTAAATAAAATAAGACAAAACGCAACAGATATCCAGTACTCTCTCATTTTTCAATATTTCTCTAACTGATTTCAGTTCGTGATCAAACACGTAAATTTTTAAAAATATTCACCACTCCTTCGCTATTTTTACTCAACAACTTTCAGGGATTGAGTCCCAGTTTGAAATCCGTCTCTACCTACCCCACACCTGGGCAGTTAACTAACTGGCTAGTAAAAATCACCCAGCCTCCTCATTGGTTTGAGCATTCAGTTTTCTCCCGATAGGTTAAGGGTTTGAGTCCCAGTCAACAAATCCCCTACTTCAGCCCTGAACGTTAGGTGTTGGTGTCGTCATCAATCCTCGCACCACAAGTGTGTTTAGGTGGCTCTTAACATGGTACATGGGAAATGTGTTCAGGAGGAGATCAAGTAGCAATTATTATGCAACGTGCTACATAATTCGTGTATATTTCTCTGATGACTCCTTGTTTTTTCTTTGGTCTTTATCAACACTTTCGTTGGTGAATCACACGTTCAATATTTGCTGAAGCTAGTAATTCATATGCCTTCAGTATCGATTTTTTGATTCGATATACTACTGATTGTTTGTAGTGAGTAGTTGAATACCACACACACACCAGCCAGTAGTGTTTCCTTGCTAGGTGGAAGCGATATGACCATAGCACCACAGTTTTGCTCGTTTGTAGCTGAGCTCATCAATGGCGTATCCGGTTTGACTCTTAGTTCAGAGAGCCAAGCCACTTGGAATCACCAGAATTCTGGCTAGCTGCTAGCTAGCTATCTACCTGGACGAAATGGGTTTGAAACGAGCGAAATGACTGTCTGGTGTTTAAGGCACTGGCTAGCAAATAGTACTGGTCTATTTAAAGCGTACCCAACTACTCATATCTCATCGAATCAGTAGTAACTGTCGTCATGCGTTTATTTTTGCTTTCTTGACTGCCATTCTGTGGTGATCTCAAACAGATCTAATACACATATATTGAAATTTTAATTATTCTGAACTGAGTTCTAACTCTGAATAACTGAATTACATTTATTGTAATTATAGTGAGATGATATTTATTTGTCCGTACATGTCGTAGAAATAAATTCATAGTATGTCTACGAACTTGTCAACAACCGACAGTGTTGTTCTTAATTAAGACGGTGTTTAGAATAGTAAAGAATACTGTAAATCGATTAACTGATGAATGTTCACTTCTTAGGTGGTTAAATGAAAGTAAATAATACTGGGATACATTCAGTTTTTTTTTATGCGGTGGTGGTTGGATTGTTTGAACGTTCGTCAGCTAGCTATGCTCAGAAGGTCAAGTTTCATTTCCTAACTGGGGAAATAAGGCAAAGTTGAGAGTGAGACTAGCAACCCCCGCCCCGCCACGCTACACCGTAAGAAGACAACACCGTCACTACTCCGAGAAATCAAAGCTTGAAGCCCTATGTTTCGTACGGAAAGTAATCAGTACTTCACTGTGTACAGGATTCAGTTAGAGAACCATTGGATAACCAGCAGAGAGCACGGGGTAGCTGTTTCGTCCTAGCTTGAAACTTATCTGCAGTCACACACACACAGGACCTTCCGGTTACAAGGCTAGCTCGTACACCATGTATCCATAGGGACACGATCGAATGACCACCAACCAATGGATTCCAATTCCTGCCAGTTCACGACATAATAATAATAATCTACTTTATTCCAAAAACAGTACTTATAATACAGAATGGAATTCTCAGCATTTGTTACAATATTGTATCTGATTTACTAAAAATATAAACGAAATTTACCAGGGGAATTTGTCCACATTTACGATATGAAGTCAAAAATATTCAAAGTACGAATTGAGAATACTAATACTACTAATAATAATAATAGTGAGTTTGTTTCAAACAGCACAAATCTAAGAAGTACAATAACAATAAAGTTTGATGTTATAAGGGTAAGGGAAATGGTTTATTTAGTAGTGCAAAGAAGGTTAGTTAGTTAGTCATGCCTAACACTATTTTCATCACATAAAGTAATTCCCGTTAAATATGGTATAGTGGAATTTTTGTACTTAGACGTACGTGCATAAAGTCTTCTGAAAAGACTTCTTGTTTTACCTGAGGAGACACAAGGTTGGAACTGTGGGTAGTGTGGATGTTCACAGTCTGAGAAAATTCCTTTAGCAAATTTGTTGCATGAAATTCAATGCCTGTCAATGACGATGTCAACGATATGGCCTAATAGGATACAACCACTCGCCTTACTGACAGTCTTCAGAGTTCTACGAAGTATGACATAGTCGTTTTTAAGCAATCCAGGAAAGAATAAGTAAGGGTGAACAATAAAGAAGAATAGGTAAGATGCATGAGTTGAGAAACTGTAAGAGGAGGGGTTGGGTTATGCCTGAGTGCCTTAACTTCTTAATGTAAAAAGTCAGACGAAATATTCTTTTAGAAATCGCTAAGACATGAAACAGGATAGGTCAGAAGAAAGAATTAATCCAAGATAGTTAACTTCAGACTTGGTTTCTATATCACTATCATCAATTTTTCAACGGTTTTAGGAATTAACAGCTTCATCGTTTAACTTTCTTTTACATTGGAAACTAAAATTAACAGTCTGACTTTTGAAAGGATTTAGTTTAAGACAGACCGTCAGACGAAGACCATTTACTAACTCTTGATAGCGCGACCATTAGCCAATGTCATCGCTGGCGAGTACTTGTCTTCCCACCTGACCTGTCTGTTGAATACAGTCAGCTATACTGTTTACACAGCGGCAGCAATGACTTCTGTCTCTCTCTTTGTCTTGTCAATTCTGCTCCTATGTAGGACAACTCTAGTTTGACATTGACTGACTGATGCCTTATATGCAAATTGTCCTCATTTACACAAATAAACCTTCAGTTGGTATTAGATGGTTGGAGGCAATCGGCCACAGGAAGCCCCGCCTTGGACCTAGGTTTCGTGCTAGTTGGCACTCATCAGCAAGGCGTATCTGCAACAGCCTTGAAGGAACTGATGTCCCTTCTGAGATTCGAACCCGCGTCACTCAGTGCCGCCTGCAGTCAGAGACGTTACCACTGAGCTATTCAGGCTCGCCATTGACCTCCTGTAGAACTGACTGTATTGGATATTTTTGATTGCACACTAGTCAGTAACTAGTGTAATGCGTCTAGTCCTATCTTCGCTGCAGACTGAATTCTATCAGTTGTATGCATTATATTATTATGTAATTCTTTGTTGTTGTTTTTATTCTGTGCATTTTAGATACATTAAATAAAACGCTAGCCGAGTTTAATATCACTCAGGATACATGTCTACAGTGTGATGACTTCCGCCAGGATTTCACTCTACGTCTTATTGTATCTTGTATTAGTGTCGAGTCGGCGAGTCCACTGTCAAAATCATCAGACAACAATCGACCTACACAACAACAACAACAACAGTACCAGCTGTTCGACAGTGACGATCATCAGTCTGAACAATGGCGTATTTTAGGCAATGTGGATTCCGTGTTAACGACAATCAAAGGTGGTAGCAGCAATAGTACAGCAAAATTACCATCTATACCTGAAGAGATTGTTATGGTGAATGGAAACGAAGAGAAGCATAAAGGTAATAAAGAGGAATTTTTACTTATTTGAAGTGTTCCACCTAGCCCCCACGCACCCCCACCTTCACAGCTTGGTGAATGTGAAGGTACCTGTAAAGCTGAAATGTTCTTCACCCTCTAGTGAAGGTTATCTGTTTTACAGCATAGCGTGTTGAAATGTAAAGAAGAAGTCAGTTAGAAGGGGAACATATTGTGCCTATTTTTCATGCTTATTAGTGCTCCCATAGTAGATATCACACAGTGATGCAGTTGTAATGACTGCATGATGACGTTTCCAGCATAAATTATTGCTGCTCATTATTATTATTATTATTATCATTGTTCCCTTGGGTTCCCAGTGGAACATAGGGCTTCAACTCAACGTCTCCACTTGCTTCTGTCTTCTGCTGTACTTTTCACCCGCATCCATGTTAGTCTATACTGTTTCAACTCCTCTTCACACGACCTCCTCCATGTCACCCTTGGACGTCCCACTCACCACTTCCCTTTCGGGTTCCACTCGAGCTATGGCCTGACTGACGCGCGATGTCACCCACCAGCCTCCTCAGCGAGTGTCCATCTATCCATCTCCCCTTTCTCCTGCCTATTTGTTGAGCGATTGGTTCTTGTTTTGTTTCTTCCCATAGCTTCTTGTTGGTGATTCTTTCCGGCCATCTGATCTTCAGTATAGAGCGAAGACAGTTACTTGTTGATAAAGGTCTGCAACAGGCTGTTGGAAATATTCTTTGTGACCCGCTTGCTGCTCATAATTATATCATTTTAGTCACACGGCGTCATATACACATGTTTTCTCTTTCTATCCTTCTTCTTGTTGCCTGTAGCCATTCTCCATATTTCCGGTATAAACGTTGCGTCATTCCGATTGCACGTGTGCAGTGTGTAATCGATAAACAAGGCTTCAGTGATTAATTGCTCTCTCTCTCGCTGACTCCACCTAACTATATTACTTTTTAATACTCTCACCCTGTCCCACTCACCTTATTTTGTGATTACATGCAAGTGAATGCAATACAATCGCTGAGCTCTATTTTCTAGGTTATTTATACTTAGCAGGGTCAATTATTTTACGTCCAATAATCTAGTTGACTCCGATCTACTAGTTTCATCCGTATGTAATTGACCTCACCAACAGTGATTATATGGTATTTGGTTTTTTTTCAAATATTCCTTTACATTCCCAGTGGAACATACGACTTCAAGCTAGAGCCCTTCTGAAGTCTCGGTGGCCGTGGTTTCTATTTTTACGGGATGGGTTGCTAGTCTCATGCCTAACCTCCCCTCTTTACCAGTCTTATTACTGGCTTATAACTGCAATGGACATCTTACACATCACTGGTGAAGGTTAAGGATGATAAAATAGAAGAAGAAAACCAACAAAATTGAGTGTGTGTACCAGATCAATTGTGGGAATTGTGACCTAGCTGTGTATATGTAGGAGAAACTTCCAGACAGGTAAATATAAAAGTGAAGGAGCATAAACAATGTCTAAAGGTGGTTCCAAAGACCTCTGCAGACTTGAAGAAACTAGAAAACAGGTCGGCGTTTCCACTGCACTCGATAGAAACGGGACACAAAATCGACTTTGATAGGACTAAAGTGCTACACGAAGGTTTCAGTTTGTTTGCAGAGAAACTTATTGCAGAAGCCCTACATATATGGGTCAATCCTGAAAGTTTGAACAGACGTGAAGGTGTGATGTTAGCTAATGCATGGCAAGTCCTAATTAATAAATAAAAATAGATATATATCACTAATCAATCATACTAGATTTAAATTCCCGATTGTCTATTTCTTGTGAAGAGGCTAACAAGTGCTTTAGAATTGTTGCCACATACACACATATGCACGTACATCATTGTATACTACATATACATATATTTTTTTTAATTCCTTCACGTTCCCAGTGGAACATAGGGCTTCAAGCTAGAGGCTTGAAGTTTCTGTAGCGGTCTTTATTTTTACAGGATGCGGTTGCTAGCCACCTCATGCCCAACCTTTCCTCTTCACCAGCTTTAGTTCTGGCTTAGCAAGGTAAAGAAGTGCGTCGGTGGCTGGGGATCGAACCCCGGACCATGTTCATGGTCGGCGAGCGTCCTAACCGCTATGCCACCGATGCACACATGTACATATATACGTTTCATATTCAGTTATCTATGACCATGAACTTTAACCGAACAAAAGTAGACTAATATTTGTAAGTCTGTGGTCAAATTTTGATCACAGTTCATGCAGTTTTGTTTATTATACGTGTTGATACCTGTTTCATGAGTCATATGATTGCACAAAGTTTTTAAAAAAACAAGAGATGTCCTTTTTATATAATATAAAGCCTCTATTATTTTAATTTCGATTAATTTCCCTGATGACGTTCGGATTAGTTTTCCGAATGCAGGAAACGTTAGATTTTGAAGTTAATTAGTAGATGGTGACTAGCAGTGGGGTGCAGGATGCGCACTTCGTCCTATTTGGGACTCATCCGCTGGACGCGCCTGCATTCCTCAGTGAGTCACAGTGTTCCCACTGAGGTTCGAACCTAGTGCCCATAGTTTCAAATGCTAAAGCGTTATCCACTGGACCACTTGGGCCACGAGGACCACCTCTTGTCGCAACGAGTCTTATTAATTATTTATTTGAATTTTAGATTTTTCCGTCGATTGATTGGACTAAAGTGCAGATGCCTCGATGATGACTGATAATGTAACTTAAAGTCGTATGGTGGATGTCAACCTGAGACCGAGCACTTTTGTCGAATCAATCGACGCAGAAATCAATCTAAATTGAACTATAAACCTTGGAATTACCTATTTCAATTTTGCTGAAATTTTTACTAATGTAAACAATGCCTTCTGTTATTATCATTCTATGTTTTTACTTATCTTATTGTGTAGCGTCGTTGAATCGCAAAGATGGCGTCGACACCAGTGTCAATGAGGACAAGGATACAGACTTGGATATCATCGAAGTCATCGAGGAATCTACGGACCTACCACGATCACCATCATCATCGGAAGGTCAAGTTTCTAAAGACAGTGTAAAGCGTCAATTCCAAACTGATGAGTCCACTGGAAATAATTGTCAAATCAAAAAGGCAAGACTTGATACCAGCGATGTTCATGATGATGATTCTTTATTGTCGTCGTCGCTTAGTGCGGTTGTACCGATAGTCAACGTCGACTCTGATGATGATGATGATCTTATCCTTATTGAGTGTGATTAATAATAATAGTAATAATAAAGACATGCTGGAGACGACGTGTGCCAACGGGAATATGTAAATGTTTGTGCATTTAAAATTCAACATGGATGCATAATCCTAAGACTATTCATCCATTGACAAATTTTGTTTATTATTATTTTTTTTATACTCATATGTTTATACACTTGTGCTGGAACTGTATTTTCTGCCTGCCTTCTTTTTCCTCTTCGTGTTTGTTTCATTCGAGAATCCTTTTATGATCGCATCTTCCATTTTTTTTGTTCAAAAAGAGAACTCCTATGTGTATTTTTCCAAGACAACTATATACCGGGCCTGCGTCGAGGTAATTTAAACACGCCATCACCGGTCGGCCATTGTTTCACTCGTTTAGGGTCGAGCTGCACAGCTCGACAAATTGGCAAATCAGTGTTCAAGCCACCAAATTTCGGTGGTCTATCGAACTTGTCCTTATCATAAATCAAATTCACCCATTAGCATATTGGTTAGCAATATTTGCAATTTACGCACAGTTCAAGTGGTGATCTGAAGAATAACTTGGTCTTTTTAGAAAAGGTGAACTACAGTGAAATTTCACCTCGTCAATTTGTGTAGACTACAAATTGCTAACCAGTTGCACGTTTTTCTTACATAACCTTCTTCATATTATTATTGTTATTATTATTATTACTACTACTTGTACTATTTTGTAATATGCATACATAATACAGTCTTGTTTACTGGTGAGAAATGCTTGTTTTTCTCAGTGTCCACTTGTTCGTCCGTCTGTCTGTCTGCCTGTTAATTCTCTTCAGTCCCTTTACTGGGCTTCTTTTTCATTCACCTGAGTTGTCAATTAAGCGTTTCATGTGTGTTTATCAGTTAGTTTATGCTTGATGTGTGCGTGTGTGTAGCAAGTGTTTTGATTGACAAAAGTTTCGGTTAGGGATCATTGAAAAAGCCCAGGCTAGCATTGGATAACTGTTTTGACGTAGAGATGTTTGCCACTATTCAGCGGTGCGCTCACCTACCATCCAAATAGGAATCTTCACCAAGTTAAAGTGTAAAGCGGATGCCCATTGTGAAGGCATTAGCTAATGGTAGTATTAGTGTGCTTTTGGAATTGTGTGGGCGGTTGTTAGTTCCCGGCTGCCCACATCGTGGATTCTTCGCGTACCTGAAACAGAAAGAGGATTAGTGTTGCGTGACCACAGAGTCCAGTGGACAACTGCTTGAGGCCCGTCACACATGGCCTGTGTGAACTGGTTTCTGGGATTGATTCCGTTTTAGTAAACTTAACGCCAGTTTTGGAACACCGTAGGCTAAGTCGGGATGTACAATTTTTTGGGGTCGACTTTTTCTAACTCCCTCTCTCCGGAGTGAAGAGACAGCATTGCTGGCTGGCATGCTGGTCATTTGAGGGAAACACCTCACTGCTGTTACATCCCTGTTCCCCAGCAGTACAACTTCGCCCTCAGACACCCAGCATAGTGTAAGAGAGATTCTTACACGATGCCGGTAACAGCTTTTAGTCTAATCGCTATCCTAACAACCTTCCTGGCATGGTAGGACCTGCAGGAACATTGGTTCCAGCCAGTGTAGCTTGTTGGGTCATCGCGATTTGCAAGCCCAACCACCACGTCAAGGTAGCAGCTATCGGTCGGGATTAGCTTGACTAATATAGTATTTAAAGTCCTAGGCTCAATAATCATGCGTAGACTAAGTGGTGCTTGGGAGGCACAAACACGAGAGAACCAGGGAGGCTTTAGACCAGGAAGAGGGTGTATTGATCATATCTTCACCTTTCGACAGATTCTAGAACATAGGCATTGTTACCGGCATCCAACAATCGTTATATTTCTTGAGCTAAAGGCGGAATTCGATTCTGTCGACCGGGAGGTTCTCTGGCGATGCTTGGCTGTAAAGGGAATTCCTAGAAAAGCTATCGCACTGATTAAGGCACTCTACTCGAACTCATGCAGCCATCCAGTTGAGGGCTTATGGCGAGTTGTCATCTGAAGTGATGACGACTAGTGGTGTCGGTCAGGGATGCCCGTTATCCCAATTCCTATTCAATCTCATCATGGAAGAACTAATGGACTTAACCCTAACTCACTTCGGAGACTCAGGGATCGACTTGTTACGACGTAATAATCTCATTGACTTGGAATATGCAGATGATATTGTCCTGCTTTTAGGTGAAGACGCTGACAAAATCAAGCGGAGTCTTCTGAACACCTTGAGCTGATAAGCAATCTACGAATGTTTGGCATGCGATTCGCTCCCACCAAATGTAAGATGATGTTACAGGATTGGACCACACTGACTCCTAGCTTAGAAATAGGCAGGAGTGAAGTAGTAGAGCATGTTGACCGCTTCACTTACTTGGGAAGTATCATCAGCCAACGCGTAGATCTCTGACAAAACCTCAGCACGGATACAGAGGGCTAGTTTCGCTCATGCCAGTTTACGGCGTCTCTGGCTTAGACGTGATATCCGACTGTCGACCAAAGGGCGTGTGTACTGCTCATCAGTCCGCTCCGTCCTCCTTTATGGCTAGCTGTGAGACCTGGCCATTGAGAGTGTAAGACATGAAAGGATTAGCTGTCTTTGATCATAGGTGTCTGCGTTCTATCTCCCGTGTTGAGTGATGGTATAATAAGGTGAGCAATATTGAGGTTAGACATTAGTCGAGTGCTAGGTAAGGAGGGGAAATCAGTCGACGAGACTGTGAAATTACATCGACTGAGATGGTTAGGACATGTGTTACGTATGCCTAGTCATCGCCTTCCTCGACAATGGGGAAATGTTAGCTGATATAGGGTCAGGCTGGGAAAGAGCCAGCTAGTGGCGGTCAAACGAAAACATGGCTTCATCAGTCAATGAAATCCACAACAGTTAGTCTAAGCCACGTAGGAAGATGTAGACTTCCTGGTTGGGGTCCTCGGGACGGTAAAAACCAATGGTTGAAAACAATTGGTGATATGGCTCAAAATCGTTCTCAATGGCTGTCCGGTGCAGATGCATCCACTCCTTGTGACTTATGATTTCCAATGAAACTGTTTTGTTCTTCGTTACTACTATTCCTTTGTCTCACACCTCTGTTTACTGTCTCTATTATGTATTTCTTCTACTTTCTTCTCTTGCTTTGTGTGCTACATGGAGGGAGTGTGGCGACTTGAACTGCCGCACATATGTGCAAAGTTCAATATACACAGAATGGTAGTATTATATCGAAAACTTCGACAAAATTAGCACTAATGTCACGGCAGTAAAAGAATTCTTGGTAAAGCGTTTCTGAACGTAAAGTTTTCTCGATTTGACATATTTTCGAATTTCATTCGAAAGATTCAATGGAATGAGGTAGATAATAACCCTGAAGGCGTTTCTGTCATCTACTTGGTGATTGCCATCAGCTAAACGATGAGCTGAAAATAGAGCTTCTAATGAATTTTGTTTAACCTTTTCCAAATCATGAAAAAAGAAGATGCTTAAGTCATAATACGTTTGCTTGGCTGTCTAGTTTTTCGACCTACATAACTTTCTACAACAAAATTCGGATTTTCTATTCTAACGTCAAGTCAGTTCTTCTATACGGATCAGAAACTTAGCGAGTCACAAAGAATATTTCCAACAGCTTGTTGCAGACCTTTATCAACAACAACTGTCTTCGCTCTATACTACTGAAGATCAGATGGTCGGAAAGAATCACCAACAAGAAACTATGGGAACAAACAAAACAAGAACCAATCGTCCAACACATATGAAGGAGAAAGTGGAAGTCGATTGGACACTCGCTGAGGAGGCCACTGGGTGACATCGCGCGTCAGGCCATAGCTCGAGTGGACTCCAAAAGGGAAGTGGCGAGTGGGACGTTCAAGGGTGACATGGAGGAGATCGTGTGAGGAGGAGTTGAAACGGTATGGATTAACATGGATGCAGCTGAAAAGTACAGGAGAAGACAGAAGCAAGTGGAGACGTGTATTTGAAGCCCTATGTTCCACTAGGAACTCAAGGGAATAATAACAATAATAATAATAACTTTCTTCACAAGAGTAGCAAAAGTTGTGGTTGCACATAGGATGTGACACAGTTAGGTAGTTTATGCATCTCTTGGGCAATCATAATTGGCCAACTGAAATTTCTCATGCACTTTGATTTATCCTTGTTATTACAAATTGCAATAACCTCTGTGATCTCTGTTGTCAGTTAACATTGCACATGTGTAAACCCCTAAATAACTAACTGTACATCTTTGAATTGAAGTTTGCAAAAAGAGGAGAGATCTTGATGTATTTGTGTTCCCTCTGAGCTGGATAGTTTGTTTGCGAAGCTTTCATTGTCCTAATAGGCAACATCTTCAACGCGTACTTCAATTTGAATTGAAGTGAGCTTTTAGATTTCTCCACGAGATGTTTATAAGTCATCTCTCCTGGTGGGTGGCCTTGAACGTGATTGGTTGAGAGAGGAGAGATCTCCTTCCTGCTGATTTTTGTATTCTTAATTTTTTGGTTTATTCATTGGTATAGAAAGTATTTTAGAGGTATTCCTATGCGCGTAGTTGACAACAATCAACGAATTGAAATGTCAACAGCATATTCCTTATCCTGCTTACGAAATCAGGGATTTAATGGACACCCCGTGTTTTCAGTCGCTCTCTGACTGACATTCATGTGTAATCCAACTACGAACATAACGAATCCCTACAAATTAACGCTTAAAAATTAATCTGATACTCTCTAATAACTGGTTATATTACGAAATTATCTGGAGTTTTTAGTGAGAAGTTGTAACCAGTTGAGGGTTCCCACCAGGTTGGGTATGAATAAAAATGGTCATCGATGACACTGGCCAGCTGTTGTGCTAAAACCGCGGATTCATAAAAGTTAGAATTCATGGGCAATTGGATTCCAACCGAAGTAGTTGATTGGTCAGCGACCTTGGCTTCATAACCTGAAGTTCCTGGGTGTGGAGTCTTGGGTGCCTACAGCTGAAGAATCCCAAACTAGGAAGT